TTCTTTGTGAACCACACGTGTCACGAGAGTTTCTCTGTCGAATGGGGCAAACCTTACAAGACAAAAAAGTCCTCAACCTGGGAAAGTTTGTGCACGATTCTTTTCCTGGATATTCTGTGTATGTGAAGCTTCTTACAGCACAAAAGTAGCGAATAAAGACATGTATTCCTGAACGAAAACCCCATGACCCATTGATTGTTATCTCTAGAGACAAATTTCTAGGAATTAGACCACTGTTCCTGCTGTCCTTGAGATTAGATCATTCTTTTTTTCTGACTAGCTGCTCTCTAGTGTTCAACTCTGCTCTCAGCACAATAATGTAACACTTGGGTAGGAAAATGCAAGCCAGTAAGCCAGCACTTGAGGCCAAGATGGAGAAGACCTCCACAGCCACCATGAATTTCCCCTTGGTGCTCAAGTAGGTGGGCACAAAGGACACCCAAACACTGCAGAAGACCAGCATGCTGAAGGTGATGAGCTTGGCTTCATTGAAAGTGTCGGGCAACTTCCGAGCAAAGTAGGCCACTGTGAAGCTGACGATAGCCAGAAGCCACATGTAGCCCAGCACAACATAGAACATGATTTCTGAGCCATCGTTGCATTGTACTAAAATCTCACCCAACTGGGAGTGCATGTCGAACTCTGGGAAAGGAGGAGAAATGCTCAGCCACACAGCACAAATGGTCATTTGAATAAGGGAGCATAGAACAATGACTAAGATGGCCAGCCTTTTCCCCACCCAACTCTGCATGCGATTCCCCGGCTTTGTGGCCATGAAGGCCAGAATCACAGTGATGGTTTTGGCCAACACACAGGACACTGCAATGGAGAAGATGACTCCAAAAACTGCCTGTCGAAGGAGGCAAGCGGCTGTTCCTGGGTAGCCGAGAAAAAGGAAGGAGCAGAGAAAACACAGCAGCAGTGAGAAGAGGAGGGTGCAGGTGATGCCCCAGTTGTTGGCTTTGACGATGGGAGTTTTTTGGTAGCGGATGAAAGTCCCCATCACCACAATGGTGATTCCTGAGAAAGAAATGGTACAAGTAGCCAGAACTGCTCCCAGGAGTTCTCTATAGGATAGGTAGGTGACACTTTTGGGAATGCACTGATCTTGCTTCTCATTTGGATAGTGGTGTTCTGGGCATTTTTCACATTCCTTGGCATCTAGAATGCATAAAGAAGGTATGTAAACATTCTGCATACTGAATTTCAATCAAAGTTTTAGCAAATATTTCTTGGTGGATATCTCTTCTTAATGCAGAGGTGAGTTTGAACACCTTTTTAGACAAGGCTAGGAATGCTGTGGTCCTTCCAGCTACCAGACATGTCCTGA